AATATTCGCTCTCGTTACGTACACGCTGACGTGCGTTTCGCAATCCAAAAGATTATAATCCATCAGACTTCAAAATTACACGAGACAAACATTTCGAAACGCGGTTTCGCATAATTATCTGGATTGGTGATACCCGGGCAGAGCCGGCTTACGTGTCCATTAACTTCTGGCTTGAATATCGATCGACACGCTCGTCGTTGTTCACGCAAGTTGATGCAAGAGAAACAGTCGTGTCAGTCTTTATTGCACAGTACTATGCAATTTGTCGCATTTGATTAAATTGCGTTCCATGTTACGAGGGAATGTCTGGTAATTAAGATAATATTATTGGATAGAAATGTTAATATTAATCTCATTTGCTAACAACAACGCGACATAATTTATTAAAAATCTCTAATTATAATATAATTTAACGTTTAGTTAAATAACTTGAACCAACATATGCTTTATTATATAATCTCAAAAGATTATCATGCTGTATTTTCGATGGTAACCGTTGTTTCGATTGTCAAAACCGCTAATCACGGATTCTATTCATCAATTAAAGAAATTATCGAACAAAGGTATTGCGTGTATCCTGGACGTAATTTCTAAGCGAATGTGACAATAGCAAAAAGTAACTTCGCGATACCTATAGGAACTTCAATGCAGATCAGAATGCCCAAACTGAGCGAGTAGTGGAGGATTAAGAAACGCGCGGCATTAAAGTCACCGATCAAAGACGAGCTAAGAAAAATCTGTCAAGATAATAGAATGACAAATGAGCTCTGAGGAAGACTAAAGATGAGCAGATCTTGATAGATCCAAGAGAGTCTTCATGAAGAGGAGAAAAGAAAGTTATGCTATTTATTATGGGCTCTGTAGACCAGGACTGCAAATACAAGCACGATATAAAGAACTCGTGAGAAGTATTTTCGTTCGTTTACGTACAATTACGTAATTAAAAATGAAAATCGTGCTTAAAAGCCTAAAATATTCTTATCAAGTCTGCAAATTGACAAGCACTTTTGCATGGCACCCGAAAGAATATCATTTTATATGTATTAAGGACGCAATCCTTAAAAAAAAAATAACTTTAAAAATATGGTGCTTACGATCTTTCCTTTGAAACATAAGAAATATAAGTATTACAAGGTCCCGACGACCGTGAACGGATAAATCGATATCAGTGCGCAAGATCATTTTCGTATATAATTATTTCTTCATTATTACATTAATCTACGTCACTCTTTGCTACATTAAGAAATTTACGAATCGGCAACTTCTACCGAAACAAAGTTCAACAAGTTCGCAAAGGCCCGTCATACGTGGGAAAAGAAAAGGAAGAAGAAAGAAATTTGGGTAAAGAGTGAAAGAATAAATACTCTGTAATAACCCTCGATGGGGCAAGCGGGTGGAGAGCGATGGGGGATCAGGTAACTCGTGGCAAGGACGTGGCCTAGTCCCCGGCGACGACGACCGGTGTGTTCAAGATTGGTCCTTCAAGATGCGAGAGCAGGCGCCCGATCCGATCTCGGCTCGTCGCTCTCATTGGGCGTGGTCCGATTTCTTGCTCAATTTTGCGCTCCTCGCGACCGCGAATCGGGTGGCCGTCGAAGGTACCGTCACCCAGTTACATCAGTGAGCGGGTACGACCTGGAGATATGTGTGTGAGTGCGCGGCGGCGGTGGCGGTGGCGGTGGCGGCAGCGGCGATGTGGACCTCCCGAGCCTCGGGCAGAGCGGTATAAAAGCCGAAAACCATCCATCCATTGGTATCATTCGCATCAGACTCGCAAGATCGAGCGAAGTACCGATCACCCGAGCAACAATGGCCTTCAAGGTATTACGTCCTTTCGAGTTCTTCTTGACGTAAGCTCGTTCTTCCTCGGTAATCCTCGTCGGTGAAGTTCCTCGCGACGTACAGTTTGTCAGTCCGATTGGGTTCTGCATAATTACGGATTGCGAGAATAATAACCGGACGGTGCGCGCTCGTAGTATCGTTTTTCTTGTGGTATTACTCCATATACAACGAAATAAAAAAACGGGGCCAATTAACGATATTTGCGGGACCAGTCGAAAGTGGCGTTTAACGTGATAAATTCTACAAAAGCGAATCTCCTTTCGTACTTCTAGATCGAGCTAATTATCGTTTGTATTTTGAACTAAAATTTTATCACAAAGAGATTAATAAAATGTTAGTGCAAAATGCAAACAATCTTTATTTTATCAAAATTTTGATTGAGTTTTTTTCTAATTTACATTTCTTTTTCACGTTGTGTGTACTATTGTATTACTTATTCTATATTTCTATATTTACTTCTATACATCTATTATATAATTCCAGCGCACAATTCTTCTATAATTTTATTCAATTTACTTACTCCCTTTCTTCTTCAGTTCGTCGCTTTCGCCGTCCTGATCGCCGCGGCCAACGCCGGTGTTATCGCACCTGCGGCCCCTTTGGCCTACGGCGCCTACGCCGCAGCCCCTGCCGCCCACCTGGCCTACGCCGCTGCCCCCGCACCCCTGGCCTACGCCGCCCCCGTGGCCAAGGCCGTGGTAGCTAAGGCCGTCGACGCCGATTTCGACCCGCATCCCCAGTACAGCTACGCCTACGACGTGCACGACAGCCTGACCGGCGACGCCAAGAGCCAACAGGAGACTCGCGACGGCGACCTCGTTCAGGGTAGCTACTCCCTCTTGGAGGCCGACGGCACCAGGCGGATCGTCGACTACATCGCTGACCCGGTCAACGGATTCAACGCCGTAGTCCGCAAAGAACCCGCCGCCGTCGCCGTCAAGGCCGTTGCCCCGGTCGCACACGCACCCCTCGCCTACGCTGCCCCGGTCGCCAAGATCGCCGCTCCCGTGGCCCATGCCGCCCCTCTGGCCTACGCCGCTCCGATCGCCAAGTTCGCCGCCCCCGTAGCTCATGCTCCCATCGCCTACGCCGCTTCGGCCCCCATCTCCTACGCCGCCCCAGCTGCCTACCTCCACTGAACTGTGACCTGACCAGCATTTAGGAATGATACTCAACGAATAAATGTCAGTTTTTTCGTAGCAAGTATAACATTAAGTCGTACGAAATTATCTTCGCCTATCTTCAATGTATCTTCGTTTAGTAATTAAGTTGGACTTTGAGGAAAATCTGGTGTTTCAATTGCAGGATTAGCAGCTGCGTCTCTTAGAAAGAATACTTTTTAATATATAATTATAATTCATTTTCTCATGCTGGTGGAAGAGATATCTTCGCCTACCTTTCTCTCGATGAGAGTGTACATTTTTTCAACCATTTAGAATAAGACTTGGAATATCTGATGTGTTTTGAATGTTTGAATAATCATAATTTTCTCACGAAATCATTTGTTATTCGTAGTTATTACTTCTTCCTAATCGTCGTCGTCATTAACCCAAGAGCTATAAGATCTCAGTACCCAAAGTTACTTAAAGTGGTGCAACATTTGTCTTCCTTATACTGAAGTGAATAACACGAGCATGTATCGAACTCAACAAAAACTGCATTATTCAACGATAAATCGATACTGTTTTCACGAACGACGAATAAAATTACATAATTCGAGGGACATGTGCGCTCGAATTTTCAAACACGTGTAATCGCCGTAACGTAACGTAATACGTTATCCAACTTGCTAAAAAAAAGAAAAAGAGGTAAAAGGCCGCGCGGATCGAAAGTCGTCGAGGAAACGAATTCGACCGGGCCCAATTAGCGAAATTAGGTCAGGTACTACCTGCCGCGGGCCCACCGGTGTTATCCCGCCTTTCCGTGACATTACCGATTCACGAGCGCTCGCCGAGCACTTTCTCCGATGAAGTGCCAGCATGCGGATTGCATAACGCCGGTTACCACGCCCGCCTCGTCCAGCTGGCCGACACACGCACCGGCCGCCGGGCGGCCAGTCAGCTCACGCGCATCGCATGTAATACGCGCGTAATGCGTAAAAGCGTGTTGCGTTATAGCCGGGTACCCCGGCTGGACCAGATTCGCGCAATGCCGGGCGAACCTTGATCCACTTACCGGTCTGGCGTGGTCCGCAACGAACAATGTTTCGTACGTACCTTGTTCCTCTTGCCCGTCTCTCTGGCTACTCTCTGGATATACCGCCTGTTTTGGCAACGAATCAAACCTGAAGAGAAGTCTCTCGCGAATCCTCCAGTGAGTTTATCCGAATATGAAATAATTACGACATACTTAGATGAGACTGGAGATATGTGGGAGTCTGGAAAGAAATTGAACTTGAAATTTAAACGAATTGTCGAAATATGCTGCAACATTTGAGAAAACTTTATTATTAAAAGAAAATGTCTGTGTAAATCGCATTTATTACTGCGATACAATAGAAGGCATTTTTATCATTCTAAACTACTCATTTAGAGCATTGTAACTTAAATAAACCGCGAATAATCTGAATTATCCATAGACTATATATCATGCGTACAAAAACATATATTCTGAACAAAGTCTTCTGTTCACTTCATAAAACACGTAAAATAAACTTGTGTTTTGGCGCTCTATTTTTACGCCTTTACTTTTCTCTTTCAATAATACGAAACGAATAAATTATTTTCGCTTATCGCTGAAAAACAAACAAGTTTCCTACATAACACATATTTCAATGCGCTTAAACGCAATATCACCTTTCTATCTCACAAACGTGAAAACATTATTGAATCAATAAAAATAAAAAATAAAAAAAAACTTTAAATGTTCACTAACTCAAAGTTCTTCTCTCCGGTGGTTGTAATCTAAAAAAGAAAAAACATGTGTATTCAA